TTCATGATCAGCCAGAGGGGTATTGAGGCAAACCCCGATAAAATCAAGGCCATAATCGACATGGAGGTGCCGAAGACACAGAAGGACATCCAGAGCCTTACCGGACGAGTGACAGCCCTCACTTGCTTCATCTCCAAAGCCACAGACAAGTGTGCACCGTTCTTCAAAGCCCTGAAAGGGGGCAAGCACCATATAGAGTGGACTGCCGAATGCGATAAGGCGTTTCAAGACTTGAAGGACTATATGGGCCGAGCACCGCTACTGTCAAAACCCCTCCCTGGAGAAACACTCTATCTATATCTATCGGTATCCAGCACTGCCGTCAGCTGAGTACTGATACGGATCCCAGAGAAGGCAGAGCTGCCGATCTTCTACGTCAGTAAGGCCCTACAGAGGGCAGAGTCTCGGTACCCCCCACTCGAGCAGCTGGCTCTAGTTCTGGTCGTTTCTGCCCAGCGGTTGAGGCCCTATTTCCAGGCCCACACCATCATCGTTCTGACCAACCAGCCCCTTCGGCAGGTGTTTCAAAAACCTGAAACATCTGGAAGGCTGGTAAAGTGGGCAATCAAGCTGGGAGAATTCGACATACAGTTCAAACCCAGGCCTGCCGAAAAGGGACAAGTCGTAGCAGACTTCATCGCTGAACTGACACCTTCGGAGGCTTCTGAACCTGAAAAAACCCCTCCACAGGCCGGCCTACCGAACGGCAGTCGTCTCGACCAGTCAACTCCTTTCTGGATCCTGCACGTTGACGGTTCAGCAAACCAACAAGGATGCGGAGCAGGTCTGGTACTCACCGCTCCCGATGGAGCCAAAATTGAATATGCCATCAGGTTTGGCTTCCGAACGTCTAACAACGAAGCCGAATACGAGGCGCTTTTGGCCGGCCTACGTCTCGCCAGAAGCATGGGGGCAATTCAGATCAGCATCTACAGCGACTCACAACTAATAGTGAACCAAGTAATTGCCGATTTCGCAGCAAAGGATGCGTCAATGACGGCATACCTTACGGCAGTACACCAGCTGCTAAACAAATTTCAGGCGTATGAAATTCGGCAGATACCAAGAAACGAGAACAGTCATGCCGACGCCCTCGCTAGACTGGCTTCGGCAATCAACGACAAAGTGGGTCGAAAGATCCCCGTCGAGATACTGGCCCTTCCGAGCACCGCCACTGCCGAGGTCTGCGCTGTAGAGTACAACGATACGTGGATGTCGCCTATTCACGCTTACCTAACGAACGGTACCCTCCCTACGGATAAGACCAAGGCCAGACAGCTGCGTTACCGATCGACAAGGTACATTGTCATCAACGACATTCTGTACAAACGTGGCTACTCGACCCCCTACATGAAATGTATCACCGAAGAGCAGGGCGAATATGTCCTTCGGGAGATCCACAGTGGTGTCTGCGGCGATCATTCCGGCTCTAAATCCCTGGCCCACAAGGCCTTCCGACAGGGATACTATTGGCCGTCAATGCATCGGGATGCAATAGCAATGGTGAAGAAATGCGATAAATGCCAACGGTTCGGCAATATTCCCCATCTTCCTGCCGAACCCCTCACACCGATCGTAAGCCCATGGCCGTTCGCCCAATGGGGGCTCGACCTGATTGGTCCAATGCCACAGGGCAAGGGACAGGTTAAGTATGCAATTGTTGCCGTGGACTACTTCACGAAATGGGTTGAGGCTGAAGCTCTAGCCACCATAACGGCAGCGAGGGTCGAAGAGTTTGTCTAGACCAATATCTGTTGCCGCTTCGACATCCCCTACGCCATCATCACTGATAACGGCAGACAGTTCGATTCGGAGCTCTTCAGGCAGTTCTGCACTCGCCTCAAAATTAACCTGTTCTTTGCCTCGCCAGCTCACCCACAATCGAACTGCCAGGTAGAGGCCGTAAATAAAATCATCAAGAAACTTTTGAAACGGCAAGTCAACAATGCCAAGGGTGCTTGGCCGGAGAAGCTTCCCGAAGCTTTGTGGGCCATATGAACATCCTACCGAACCTCCACAGGGGAAACTCCCTTCAGCCTTGCATTCGGCTCAGGAGCCGTTGTCCTCGTTGAAATCGGTGAGTCTTCTTACCGAACGGAAAGCTTCGAGCCGAAGGCTAACGAGGCAGCGCTCGCGTTAAGCTTGGATTTAATTGAAGAACGGCGAACGGTAACCAACCTTCGGAACGAAGCTTACAAACAGCACGTCTCTCGGTACTACGACTCAAGGGTCAAACCGCGTTCCTTTAGAATCGGGGACTGGGTTGTGCGCAAGGTTTCTCTTGCAACCAAAAACCCAACGGAAGGAACCCTCGGACCTTCTTGGGAAGGACCTTACGAAGTCATCGGAATCCTACGTTCCGGTAATTATAGGCTCCGAGGCACGGACGGGAAGACCCTCGGTCACCCATGGAATGTGGACCATCTCAAGAGTTATTTCAAATAAAGCCCCCTAGCCAACGGCAGGGAGGAATTTGTATTTTTGCCTACGACATATATAAATAAAACGAGATTATCCAGTTCCACGTATTCAGAACGTCATATCCTAAACAGTATTCGTTCAAAAAAAATTATTTCGGTAGGGCTCACCAAAACAAGCCACAGTAACATTGCCTACAACAATTAAAAAGCTACGCAACTACATGCTTACTGCCGATTCCAACTTAGCTTGTCAATTTTTATTCCAAGTTAATACAATAGGTACGAGCCTACGGCAGTACAATGCCCCAGAATTACCTACGGTATTCTCATCGCGCATGGGCTACAAACCCATGCGGTACCCTAGACTTGCCCACGACATCTCTATGGACGAAAGGCTATTGGGACCTTGTCCCTACCGATGCCTGCAATACTTGAGTTTCGACTAATGGGTACGAGCCAACGGCAGTACCGTGTTCTCATCACACAAACCACTGAAACCCAATAACGGTGCCCTAGACTTGCCTACAGCATCTCTATGGACGAAAGGCTAATGGGGCCTTGTTCCTTTGGTTTTGTCTACCGATAGTGGAGACACTTATCCTAAACACAGTTATTTGCCTACGACAGTAACGAACATGGATAAAATTCAAGTAAAACAAACAAAAAATAACTTGAATTAAAAAGATGCCCTCGGCATCAATATGTTCAGACATTTTGCCAATGGCAATTAAAATACATAAAAAATTATCATTAAAAAAAATATAGCTCAAGCCTCGGCAGCACGATCTCCCTGGTCTTCAGTAGCCTCAACCACGGCGTCGACGGTGGCTTCGGGGGCATCCTCGGCATCAGGACCCTCGGCATCTTCAGGGGCATCCTCCCCCTCATACTCCTGCATCATCTCTTCTGTGAGGCCTTCCGGTAGAGGAGGGGGATCGGCAGCAAAGTTCAGGTTCAGCTTATGGCCCGGATTAAACCGCTTGAAATGGTAGATGAGGTCCGCCATCTCCGAAGCCACTTCATTATCCACCAGAGAGGTGAACTCAGAGGAGGAACGGTATCCCCCGATGGCTTCGTTAACGGCAGCCTCAATCTCCACTGCCTTCGACCGCTCAGAAGCCTCGAGCGCCGTCTGCGCGGCCACCTTAGCACCCTCGGCATCCCTAACGGCTTGCTCCGCACCGTCCAGGGCCTCGCGCATCTCGGTAAGCTTCGCCTCGTGCGCCTGGATCTGCCATTCGGCAGCATGCATATCCTCCACGAGATGGGCGTGGTCCTGGAGAGCCTTCGTAGCATCGGCAACCTTGGAGCGGCCGTCCTCATAGAGCCGCTTCGCGTGTTCAGCAGCAGCGATGACTCTTTTCATACACAGCCACATGTCCATCGACGCCTGAAAAATGAAGCCGCAGGTTAGTACCGAACGAAAGATAAAAACAACAAAAAGACCAAAGGAGTTAGAAGGTTACCATGGCCTGCAGACGGAAGGCTCGCCCAGCCTCCTCCCGAAGAGCCCTCTTTGGCAGCTCGTCGATCTCAGCCAAGTCCATCTGCGAGCCCACGATCATGTGGTTCGCAAACTGGACCGTCTTCGAGGGACACGCCAGTGTGACTGCCTCGGTAGGGCCCTCCTCGTCCTTGGCCGCAAAGACGGCCCTCGGTGGGTCAGAGAGCCGCACCCTTTTGGGGGTGGAGGCGACATCCAGGTCTACCGTCAGTGGCCGCTTCCCGGAAGCCTTGGAAGAAGCGGCATCGGCACCCTGACCCGGGTGGAGGACCAGCTCGCTGAGCGGCACCCTTCTACTCACAGGCTCGGCATGGCGCTGCCTCTGCCGTTCGGA